ACTTGAACCTTGAACACTGGACTGATGGGCTAGTACACATTCTATGATGGAGGTTGCCATTTGAGGCTAAACTAACAGTCAAGTCCTGAATGACTTCAGCTAGGCCTTGGCCCCAGATGGGGCATGGTGCATCTGGGCATGGTCTCTTCATATAACCCAGACTGCCTGAGGGTTCACAGATTCACTGAATTACATGGAACCAAAGAAAATGAGAAGGATAGATGTTGGGCTAGTAATTAGGTTAGGATGAATTTGATGCTGTTCCAAGATCTGTTAAACACTGTGTAATCCTGAGCAAGTCATTTAAATTTCACTTACACATTCAAGGAAGAGTGTAGAGCAACTACTTTTAGTCAAAGATCTTGTGCCCTCTGGGGCCAACTGGAAAACCACCTAGGTGAGACAGGTCAGTCACGGGTGAGAGTAAAAGCCAGTGACGGTGTTTGGGAACGTATGTGATTCCCCTCCCCGGATGATCCAAATGCAACGTCTGAGAGGCCAGATGAAACATGGCAGCAGTGATAAGGTGGTCTCCTCTGCCACACAACTCCCTGCTTGAAGCAATGCTGTGTGAGCTGAAGGAGACAACAGCACAGAAAAGAAGGAGCCAGAGTCAGGCTCCAGAGTGTCCTGAACTGAAGAAATGACTGGCCCTGCTGGGAACAGAGAGGGCTCTATCTTAGAGGGGGACGCATCTGGTGTTTATAGAGAAAAGACACTAAAAGTGTCATCCAACCAGCTGACACTAGGTTCTCAGTTGCTGGACAACTGGGATCTGAGCACTGAGCCTTCCTACCAGTTATCTTTGACTTCAGTGGTAAACTATTTAATGGTCATGAGTTCCTCCATCCCACAGATAAGCCTTTTTACATTGGGAACTTGCTGCTCCTCCCGCTCAGGGGTGGAATCTACATCTTTACTCCCTTGACACTATATAGACTGGCTCTTGTCAGTGAAGAATTTGTCCAGTCTTTGTTCCAGATTCCTGACACTGGGCGCCCAAAACCCTGGAAATGTCCAGAGTGACAGGAATGTCTTTGTCATTCAGGACCCCAAGCATCACACCTGAGTTCATGCAATAACTCACAAGGGGCGCTGTCCACACCAGAAAGACCAACCGTGTGATTACAGGGTTGAGGCTGTGAGCCAGCCTCACTTGTGGGAAAGGAAGGGGGGCTAGAGATCGAGTTCAAACAAACTGGCAGTGATTTTCCAGTAAACACCTGGACTCTGAGGCTCAAGTGAGCATGCTGGTTGGTAAGCACAGCAATGTGCCAGGAGGGTGATATGCTCTGATTCCGTGGGGAGAAGGCATAGAAACTGCATTTGGGCCGTCCTAGACCTTGCCTGAGGTGTCTTTTCATTTGGCTGGCTCTTATTTGTATCTTCCGTAGTAAAACTGTCAGTGCTGTTCTAGGAACACTTTCTATCAAATTACTGAACCTGGTAGATTATGGGAACTCCCAAATGTACAGCCAACTGTTCATAAGTGGATAGACTGGGGGCCCCTAAACTTGTGGCTGCCATCTAAAATGAGGGCAATCATGTCGGGAACTGTGAAAACAAAGTAGTTCAGTGCAGTCTGTGGAACTCAAGGTCCATTTAAATCTTAAAACTTAAGTAGTAAGCATGGGCTTGAGATTTTGGTTTTGTGCCATACCCATCAGGGTTATTGCCCAAAAAAGCATGTCTTAGTTTACAGTAAACAAATTGTGTGCTGCAGATCAAGTAGAAGAGGAAATTGCTGGGTTAATTCTGCTTAACTCAGTTTACTCACTGCAAAAGGAGTATAGATTTCGCAATGTGACCCCGCCACCTTTCTTCCAGTGTTCTTGAGTTCATGATGTAAAAAGTAAGATACAGTCAGTCAGCTGCCTGCATTATTTAAATGACTCAGTGTTAACTCTTGACAAACAACCTGCGACCTCACCTCTTCTCGCCCTTCTCTTTGTTATACTGGGTTGTCGAAAAGTCATGACACATTTTTGCATAGAAAAATACGTCATGACTTTTCCAATGATCCAATATAGACTAGATTTTTCAGTCACCATTCAGATGGGCATATGTCTGTGAAACCAGAGCTATTCATTGAAGCAAATTCATTTTAAGTCTGGGCTCAAATAAATCATTTTCATTTCACTTATTTTGCTTCAGCCTTCTGTTGAGGTTAACAGAACTCTGCCCTTAAACTTGTGGGGTCTACACTGACCCTGGGGGTTAGCATCAGAATCATATCTCGGTATTTTACTGGCCTTTGACTTGCTTTGACCAATGGAATGTGGCAGAATTGACACTACTTGGATTTCAGAATTTAGCAGTCTGCTTGCTCTCTTGAAACCCTTATGTCTCTGGACTGTAAAGAAGCCTGTAATGAAAAGACCATACAGAGAAAGACACAAAGCCATGCCAACTGTCCACCTGTGCCCAGGTCCCAGCTCACCTGCCAGCTGAATGCCTGAGTCAACCCTTGTGAAACTGGCAGAACCACAGAGCCAATTCAGGTTACTGAGAAACAATAAATTGTTATCCTTTGGAGTCAGTAGTGTTTGGGCTGGCTTGGTATGTAGCAATAGTTAACTGACACAATTTCTCATACAGTTGCATCTGTGGGGAGGCAGTGTATGGAGCTGCCTCCCAAGGATGTGGGTTGGCTAAATGTAGAATTGTACCCTTATTGTAAATGAACAAATCAATATTTAGCTTATGCACACCAGTACACATGTGCTCAGTGAGTAAGTGTCTGCCCCTAGAGAAAAGTTCTCTGTTCTGATGATAAACAAGTGTCTAAGCCTATGACACCAAGGATGAGGTCCTGGGTAGTGGTGTATCTGACAAAGACCTTGCCAGCTTTGGGAAGATCTTGTTAGGGAGCTACTGGGTTTCCTCCTGGTGGGAGCCCCACGTCAGTGCCAGTTTTATCACTTGAGGCAGCCACTGCTATTACCCTGCACTGAGCAGCACTGGAGAGCAATGAAGGCCAGACTGGCTATATGAAACCTGGGCCCTGTCAGTCCAGTTCACCACCGCATCTCCAGGGGGTAGCACAGAGCCTGGCACATGGCAGGATTTGGTAAATACCTGTTCAAGAAATGGGCTTGCTCACTGAGATCTACAGAAATGCCTCTCATGGCTCCATTAACTTACTTATTTTCATTCATTCAAATTACTGTTCCAACTCAAAAACACAAATATAAAGTAAGCCGTTCCTACCTCTGAGGTTGAAAATCCAGGATAAGATGAGAACACAACCTCTGAAACGAAACAGAAACAGAACCAAGGTTGATAAGAGCACTGGCTGACCCCTAGCAGGTCAGGGTCTGGGTCTGCCTCCCAGAGGGACTTCACTGCTCCCTGGCTCCAGTGCTAACTGGGGAGAGGAGCTGGCTGTGACATCAGGTGAGAAGTAAGTCCTCTGCCCTTAGGATAACATCCCAACTCCTTAGCCAGGCCTCAAGGTCCTGCATGATTAGGCCCTGCTTACTTGCCTATTACCCTCTCCCTCAATCACTACATTTCAGCCACACTGACCTCCTTGTAATACTCAAGACCTTTTTAGCTTTAGAACTGCTAGGTAGTCCATACTGAACAGAAAGTTAACCAACTGTCTTAGCAGAGATGAACTGTACAAGAGACATCTGTCAGAGGATTTGAAATTATTGTATATTAGAACAACTAGAATGTGTTAGGTCACTGCATTCAGGAAAGATACGAAGACCCACCAGCCGCATGGTCATAGGAGGCTCCAGGGGGACTTCATTCTTGGGACCACAGAAGAAAACAAGCCAGTAAACGGCCAAGTTCAAACTAATAAAGCAACGTGTGCTGGGATGGATCCCAGGCAGCAGCACTTACTTCTACCCTGACTAATAATGGGACCCCTTCCATGTGTTAATGATATGGTAATGAGAAATGTCACATGACAGTGAAGGGGGAGCAGTAAGAGAAACTGGAATAATGCTTGGCATAACTAACCTTCCCTTCAGTGAGGGTCTGCAAGGGAGTTTGGGAAAGTCTGTGCAGTAAACAAAGTAGGAGAATGAGCCAAGGCTGCAGTTGTGGATACTGAGTGATTCCCTGGAGACACAAAGAGTCCCACATCTAGAAAAATGGGCTACTGCAACACCCTGCCTGAATGCAAACCCTGCCCCTCCCCACGTCATAGGAAGCAACTCCAGAATCTAAGCTTCTGGTTAAGGGTTTCATTAACAGTATGAAAAAAGTCATGAAATAGAAAATAAAAAAGGACAAGCACCTAAAAAAAAAGTTAACAAAAAAATTTTAAACTTTCAAATGGAATAATTATTGGGTTGTCAGAAAAGTCATGATGTGTTTTTCTATACAAAAAATATATCATGACTTTTCCAATGACCCAACAGTATCTTCTGTGAAATTTAAAAAGCAGTTTCATTCCTAAGAAAAAAGGTTGTTACAGAAGTGAAGCTATTAACAAGTTTGTACATTTAAAGTATTATAATCAAACTAAAAACTTAATATATGTGTTGACTAAAAGAAAAGACCCAGTTGAAGAGCTAATTCATAAAATGAGCTGAGCTGAGAGATTTTTCTCAGAATGTAGTACAAAAAGGCAAAAAAAAAAAAAAAAGACAGAAAAGAGGAAAAGAAAGATGCAAAACTTCCAGCATCTGAGAGAATTTCAGAGGAACACTACATAGAAAATGGAAAGGGAAGTAAACTTTTCTCCAAGTAAAGGAAACCCTGTATCTTTGAATGAAAGACCCCTCAAAGTACTGAACAGGATTGATTTAAAAAAAAAAAAAAAGATTTGTGAGGGCCAACAGGGGGCACGGGGGTTGGGGCACTGGACTCCCACATGGCTGACCATGGTTCAAATCCCAGACCTGGCAGGCTTACTTTCTCTCTCTCTTTCTCTCTCTTGAGCACGTGTGCCCTACAGCAAATTTAAAATTAATTCTTAAAAGAAGAAGAAGAAGAAAACAGTGTTGCATACCTAGTAGCATCTTACTAAAATTTCTAAGGGATAGAAAGGAAATCAGAGAGCAAACACACATTTCCTATAAGGAAATGAGACTCAGACTGGAATCAGACTTCTCACTGGCAACAGTAGGCCTAGTGGGCAATGGTGTAAGATCTTCAAAGCTTTAAGGGAAAATTCTTTTAAGGTTAGAATTCTCTATTTAACCAAATTAGCATTCAAGTATGATAACAAAGTAAAGATAATTTGGAGAGCAGTCCATAGCCTAGTGTTAAAGAACCCAGATTCCACATGGCTAACTGTGGTTCCAATTCCAGCCCTGGCAGTTTGAAAAACATGCCAGGCATGAGTGTGTATGTGCGTGCATGTGTGTGTGTGCCCCAAAATCCTGATAGGATAGAGAAAAAGAGGAAAAAGGATTGAGGTGTGTCCTTCAATCCCTTTGAGGTGGAGGATGCTTTCTCCCTCTCTGTCTCTGTTTCTCTCTTACAAGTACACATGTCCTCTGGTAATTAAGAACATAAATAAACAGGGGCCAGCAGGTGGCATGGTGGTTAAGGCACTAGATTCCCACATGGCTGACCACAGTTTGAGTCCCAGACCCAGAAGCTTGAAAAACATGCCAGGTGTGTATGTGTGCATGCCCAAAATCCCGAGAGGAGAATGAGAAAGAAGGGACTGAAGCATGGTCATCCCCCTGGGGGTGATTCCTCACTTTCCCTCTCTCAGTCTTTCTCTGGTAAATGCCTGTGCCCTATGGCAATCAATCAGTCAATCAATCAATCAATCAATCAATCTGTGGATATTTAGGATATCTTCCCACATGGCTCCAGCACTGTACTACAGTGGTGCTCTGTGCCACCATGGCTGGGCCGCAAAATTATCTCAATTTTTTTTTTTTATATTTGCTATAATCTCACATGTACTTGCCAGAGAGAAAGAGAGAGAGAAATAGAGAGATAAATCATCCCCAGTGGAGGAGATGACCATGCCATAATCTCTTCTCTTCTCTTCCATTCTCCTCTGGGAATTTTGGACACACACTCAGATGCACCTGGCATATTTTTCAAGCTGCTGAGTCCAAGACTCAACCCGTGCTGGTGGCTGGCCATATGAAATCCAGCCACCTTAATCACTATGCCACCTAGCTGGTCCCAAAACCATCTTAACTGATAGAGCCAGTTAGGGGGTCACTGAAATATTTTATGTTATTGAAAAATTCAGCTTTAATACAGCAGTTCTCCAGGGAGCCACAGACTTTCAGAATAAACTCTCAGAAAGTTATTCCCATTATTGGGCTACTCTCTGCAACAAGGGGCCTTACTCACCTGTCCGGTCGACGTCCTTTTTCATGGGCAATACAGTATAATCCGGTTGTTCCTCTGAGGCCTCAAACATCCAGGACTTGGGCTGCAGCATTGACTGGGGCCTTTTGTGAGGACTTCCCCTGCCTCCCACCCAGTCCCCTGAGCCGTCTCGGAGCTGAACCTGCTGTAGGTATGGGATCCGGCAAATCCTATTTTGGTCCAGGCTTAACTTCTTTAGTCTTCGATTAAAGAGAGTGAATACAGAATCACAGCAACAATGATACTTCAGAAATATTTACCAAACAACTTTAGGGGAAGAACATGGAATCAGGGTTGGACAGTTACTTCTCTTGTGACTTTGAGCAGTGACTTACTCTCTGGGCCTCAATAGCCCTATCTCAAAAATGGGAAAAATATTTATTAATGTTTCAAAATACTTGTGAAGATTATACGAGATAGGATTTCAACCACCAAAGACCCTCTGCCCAGATTTCACCCTCCTGCTCCCCAGTCAAGCCAGGAGTCAGGATAAGTCAATCAGCAGCCATCTGTATTTGAGTTCTGAGCGTCCTCATTCAGGAATTTCAACCACCGAAGACCCTCTGCCCAGACTTCACCCTCCTGCTCCTCAGGCTAGCCAGGAACCAGTTACAGTACCCTACTTATTCTCTCTGTCTCTTCCATCTCTCGCTCTCTCTTTTTAATACATATATATTTTTACTTTTTAAACTTAGCACTCTGCTGCTCTTTTATTTTCTAATTCTTACCTTCCCCCCGCCCCTATAGGATAAGCCAGTCAGCAGCCATTTATATTTGAGTTCTGAGTGTGCGGTTTTCATTTTTTGACAAAATTTTTTTTCTTCTCTTTTTCTTATTGTTTTGTCTTTCTCTCTCTCTCTTCTTTGTTTTTGTTTCGTTTTGTTTTCCTATTTATTTTCCTTTTCTTTTTATCTTTCTCACTTTTCTGCTCAGCCTCCACACAGTGATTTTTTGGACAAGTCTAGGTGCTCAGTTCACAAATATCTGAATACTTTTAGGGTCAGATTAAGGCTCAATTTTCATTGACTCAGTTGTGCAACAGGAGAAAAATGGTACTATGTACCTCCTTCTGCATTCCTCTGATAGCTCAGATTTAACCCCCAAAATAAGAAAAAACATATAATCCATCAGGTGACCAGAAACCACCACAGAGACATAAGAAATATGAGAAACCAAGAAAATCTCTCTCCTCTAGTGGAAGAGAATAACTCTTCTTCCTCCACAAAGAATAAAAGAGAACTCATGGAAATGGCAGATAGAATTGAAAAGATTCACACTGACAAAGCTAACAGGGATGCAAGAGAAGAGAGACAACAAACTCTAGAAGATGCAGGAGAGAAGAGACACCGAGTTCCAGGAGGTGAGGAAGTTCTCACACGATCTGAAAGAGGAGATACACATCATAAAAAAAGAATCAAAAGGAACTGTTAGAGATGAAGGTTGTAATACAGGAAATCAAAACTTCCCTTGAAAATAGGAAAAGCAGATTAGATCGTGCAGAAGATCAAATCTCAAATGTAGAAGATAGAAACTCTGACCAGAAAAATTCACCAAAAAGACTAAGAAAATACCGCCCCCCCCCAAATGAGAATAACATACAAGTAATACTAGATACCATTAAACACCCAAACATCCATATTATCAGTATTCCCAAAGGTGAAGAAACTAATAATCTATTCCATGAAATCCTGGAAGAAAACTTTTCAAACCTAGAGAGGCATTCAAATATCCAGACCCAAGAAATAAAAAGGACCTCAGATAGAATAGACCCAAGAAGATCTTTCCAAGTCACATCACAGTCAGATTGACCCAAACTACAGAGACAAGATACTAAAATTGGCAAGAGAGAAACATCAAGTTGCTTTCAAAGGATATCCCATAAGGCTAACATTGGACCTCTCATCAGAAATAATGCAAGCAAGGAAAGAATGGGAAAATATATTTAAAGTGTTAAGTCAAAAACAATTTCAACCAAGAATACTATACCCAGCAAGATCGTCTTTCATATGGAAATGTAAGACATAAACATTCTCAGATAAACAAAACCTGAAAGAATTTACCAACACCAGATCAGCTGTCCAAGAAGTGCTGAAAGGAGTGCTATACCAGGAAAACTAAAGTTGGACACACAGAAATAAGAGTACAAGAAACAGGCAAGAGTATGGTCAGCCTAATGGTAGGGACAAGTCCAGAGTTGAATGTTAACTTCCAGAGTTTAACTGGAAAGATCAAACCACAGTAACACTGCAAATTCAATAGAAGAGAGATTAATTATATGAGTCTGAACTAGTGAAATAGAATTTTTTTACTTTAGACTAAAAATTACGGAGACTAGCAGTTAGCGTAATGGCTATGTTGCTAGACTCCCATATAGTCAACTGTGGTTCAAGTCCTGGACCCAGTGGCTTAAACTCACGCCAGGTGCATGTGTGTGCATGCCCAAGATCCCAAGAGAATGGAGGAGAAGGGATTGTGGTGTGGCCATCCTCCCCAAGGGGTGATGCCTTGCTTTCTATCTCTCTGTCTGTCTTTCTGGTGAGCGTACGCACCCTGTAGCAAAAAATCTCTCAAAAAAAAAATTACTGACTTTTTTTTGATGCTTTGATTTCCATATTTAAGGATTTTTGTCTTCTCTTGAACTGTTGATAGGTTCATCTACCTACCATTTGAGCTGAATCCTAACCTTTTTCCTGGCTTTAATTTTTAAGCAAATTTCTCTTTACATTTTTCAATTTCAATATATTAAAACTAAAACTTTTTAAAAATTAAAATGTGTATTAAAAATACCTATTAATGCCTATTTAATGACTACAGTAAACTATATAGCCCCAGCAAGGTGGTACTTTATAGTATGTTCACTTTACTCACTGAGGTTTATGTGTAAAGTCAGACATGCATTCCTGAATATGTATTTATCAGCTGTGCTTGCTCTTGAAAGTCTTTAAATTAATTAAGATCTTTAGTGAATCAATAAAATGTAAAAAAAAAATATGTATGAAAAACAACTGTACATACCAGAGACAGTGTGGGAGAAGGTGGGGAGTTGGCAGAGAGTGAGAGGTAGGGAATCAAGGGGGGGGGGAAATAAAGCAAAATACATAAGAAACAATAAACAGAAAATTATTTGTTGATAACATGTATGATAATATCTTGGATTGAGCCAATATACAATGTATACTGGATGGAAAATCTCATTTTGTATACTATATTGTAGTACAGTGAATGACTGTAAATAAATAAATCGACAAATTTTAACAAATATTTAAAATTTTAAAGATTAGATGAGATAATATGTAAATGACTTGGCATAAAGTGGTACTCAGTAAATGGTAGCTGAATGCAAAATAAACTTTCCAGGGACCTGAAACTTAGCCATTTAGATCCACATTTTCATTGCTTCAATCAGATGGTAGAACTCAGCAGTTAAACTTCCCTTTCTGACTATGATTCTTTTTTCTCCCTGTGTCTTCTCTCAAGGTCAGGGTCTTGTTTTGGATAGTGTCTCTTCCCACCCACCTCTCTCTCTGCTGCATGGCATCCAGTCACATGATCAGAAATGTCCCTACTGACACCCTACTTTGCAGAGGAGTTAACTCTGAGAGAGGGAAAATGATTGACCCTGTGTGTAGCAGAGTGTTGGATTTAAACCCAAGCATTTGGGCTTTCAGAGGTGCACTGAGGGTGTGAGCAAGGCTAGGGGTTACAGTGGGCCCTGTAGAGAGACCTATGCCTTCACCTCCTGAGTCCAGCCAGGCTGGCGAAGCAGTTGGGGTTGGAGAGTTTGTTGTCATCCAGCATCAGTGTCTCCAGCGCTGGAAACCTCAGGATGTACCTCTTGCTCGTCAGCGATGTTACGGATGCCTCCCTGTGAGTGCCAAGATGGAGAGCGATGACCCAGAGAATGAGCTCCGCCATTCCCAGGAAGGGACAGAGGACAGGGAGGGGATCGACAGGGAGGCATTATAGCTGCGGAATATCTCTGGTATCCAAGAGATGGGTAAGAGATGCAAGTCCCTCCCCACTGACCCCTGCCCCAAAGCCCACCCCTACACACACTGCTCTGTGTGGAGGTGAGACCAGGCTGGAGCAGGCTGGGGGGCACTGGCAGTGTGGAAATGCCAGAGTGAATGAGGCATGAGCCGGCTGACTGAGGGAGCATTCTGCAGGTGGAACACAGTACAGTTTGGTCTCAGGGAAGTCTCAGGTATGCTGTGTGACCCCACGGACAGGCAAGCATGGAGCACTAGGCGACAATGGCACCAGCTGGGTAGGCTGGGGGAAAGGCACCAGCCTTGACTGTAGCGAGGCATTCCTCTTCCTCTCAAGTGACTTCCTCACATGCTCATGTCATTCAGGAGATGAGAAATCTCTTTTTAATCTCAAGCTTTGAGCATGCCCCAAAACACCAGAGTGAGAGTTAAGAGGCTGAGGTACTGAATTTTACAGGTGGGTAGGAAGTGGTAGCCTTTAGGTACTACCATCGTGTGACCTCATTTATACCCCCAGGGGGATGAGAACTGGATAACTCTATTTAAATTCACACAGGCAGTTGACACAAATCACATTTTTATCTTTCTCTCCATACTCCACCCCATCCACACACCACAATAAGAACACACATGAACATCTGGCACAAATACATATACCCTTATAAAAACCACACACACACACACACACACGAGGACAGAAAATGAACATTCTTCAGAGCCTGTGATATCCCTGGCATTGCGTTAAGTGTTTTACCTGTGTTAACCTCAAACAGCCCTGGGGATCCTTTCCATAACAACCTCAGGGCGACTTGCCAAAAGCCTCATAGCTAGACAGTGGCAGAGCTCCAGCCAGCACTGAGGGCCACCTGACTCCAAATCCAGGCCCTTTCCACCACCACACACCACCTCTCCCGGTCACATCTACAAGCCCCCTTTGAATGGGAGGGTGCGGAGATGAAAGGGGGAGCTGTCACTTCGGCTAGAGAGGGCTTAACAAAGGCAGGTGGTGGGTTCACGGCCAGGACTACAGCATATGCCCAAAGTCAGGAATATTTCCCAGGTAAGCGGGCAAACAGATGTGTATCTGTTCCTTCACACTCTTGAATCTCTTTCACAGACATTCATGTATCCAGGGACTGAGAAAAGAAAGAAAAGAGAACACTCAGCTCCCTTCCAGGTGCTCACAGTCGTCCGATGGACGAGACAACACGCTGCACACAGTGGGACAATGCTGTGATGGAAACGGGCAGGAGAGCTCAGGTAGGCGGTGTTAAGCCAAACGAGGAAGAGTGGAGAGGGAATGTGCTATGCTCTGAGCCATGGTGAGAGAGAGAAAAAAAACATCTCTGTGGCTGAATCTGCAATGTAATTAGGATCTCTGGGCAGCCATGCTTCCCATCACGGGGCTCAGGGCCCGCAGGGACACAGGCAGCCCACCTGCGAAGGAAAAGTGGCGAGTCAGAGAGGAGCAGATGTGAAAGTCAAGACGCACGACCTCGGCTGCTCCACAGTGCTTGGGAAGCCCAGGAAAGCTGTCACGAAGAGCCCTGCAGCAATGTGTGGAACCAGCTTGAAGCTCTAAGACAGGCACTCAAAAGAAGACAGGAAAGGAAGCCTTTAGTTCACAGTATTTCAAGGTCATGGGGGACCAGCTTCCTCTCCCTGGAAGGAACAATTTCATACAGCAGATTTCTTTTTTTCTTTTTCTTTTTTAATGAGAGAGAAGGAAAGAGAGGAGGAGGGAGAGAGACAGAGACGGGCATTTTTGACAGGGTCTCTCTGTGTCACGATCCTTCTGCCCCGGACTCCCAATTAGCCAGGATTATAGGTGTGTGCAACTGTGCCCGGCGCATACACTGAATTTTTAATCTCTACCTGAGAGCCATTACAGAATGGTGTGCAGTAGCTCTATGGAACAAGGCGGTCCACTGAAAACAGTGAGAATGATAAAACATAGAAGAAATAAAGATCCATCAGAGATGTGAGGACAGGAAGGAAGCAGTATGCCAAATACAAAAACCCAGAAAGAGTGACTACACAAGGGAAGCTACTACACAAGCTAGCCTCGGGGCATCTACTGGCCCTGCTGAAAATGATGGATGGTTTAAGTCTCGCAAGACCAGAGAATCAAAGCCCAGGGCACACTGGAGATGGGGCATCTAATCAGAGACCTCCTATGGGAATCTGGGACCCTAAAGGCATACACCTTCAGGATGGAATGAACCAGACTAAACGCATTCCCCTCATCCCATAACCAGAGGAAAAATATCTTGCAGTGAACAGAAAAGGGGTGGGGGGGGGAGGAGGCAAACTCGTTCTCTTGCAAAACTATTGCTCAAATCTGTACCATCCAGAAAAAAATCCAGTCAGGAGTCGAATTTAAAGCTATTCCATACAGAGTGCCCCCAAGCACCTGGTTAAAATAAATGAAAAGGTTGTAGTACTGCAGACTAAATAATGTGTGCCAACTCTTCCCTGAGTATAAACTAGGAAATTCAAACAAAATATACTTTAAAAATGATTTAAGGGGCCAGCAGGTGGCATGGTGGTTAAGGAGCTCGACTCCCACATGGCTGACCACAGTTGGAATCCCAGACCTGGCAACTTGCTTTTTCACTCTCTCTCCTCTCTCTCTCTCTCTCTCTCTCTCATGAGTACATGTGCCCTATAGCAAATTAAATAATAATAATAATAATAATAAAATTAAATAAGTTTTAAGAGAAATTTTTGGTATAGGTTATGTGGGCTTGCCAGAGAGACAGAGAGAGACAAAGAGACAGAAAGCAAGAAATCACTCCCATGGGTGAATGGCTACACAGCAATTCCTTCTCCTCCATTCTCCTTTCAGGATCTGGGACATGCATGCACAGGCTTGGAGCACAAGTTTTAAGCTACCGGGTCTGGGACTTGAACCGCAGTCAACTAGGCAGGAGTCCAGTGACATAACAATTAAGCATCTACTGGTCCCAAATAATTTTTTTTAAATTTGCTTTCTAGTACCTGGGAACTAACAGCTGTGAAAAAAATCATGGGAGCAAGATTTGAAATAAGGAAATGCAAAGGGTTCATGCACCATTTGATGCCACTTTCCTCCTAGGCCTGTCTGCTGAACTCCAGAAATGGAGGGAAGACTGAGAAGCTGGGCAGAGATTCTGACAGCTTTGCTAGTCCAGGACCACAAGCTGGAGTCTGGAGCGTGCCACAGAATGAAAGCCAAAGTGCCCATGCTAAGTGAGGGTGCTGAAGGACTACACCCTGGGAGCAAGTGTATACTAGAAATAATGCTGCCCTTGTAGAGACCAGAGACGGACTAGCTTCAAATAATTTTTAACTCATCACTGGATTGCAATGAGTTAAAATTATATTAATAGAAGGTCAAAAAACTTGATCTGGTGAGAAAAAATGACTTAGTTGCTGAAAGGGAGAATCATGGTCATTCATTCAGTTTTCTATTTGCATTTTAATTAAAACTAATTAAGCTTAAATAAAGTTGAATTAAGTTCCTCCTCACAGTTAGCCACATTTCAAGTACTCAACAGCTCAACATGGCCAGTAGCTGCTATACTGCATGCAGATACAGAACATTTCCAACACTGCGGGTAGTTCTCTACACCAGGGCTAGCTGAGGCCTAGTTAAGATTACTAGACAGTATCTTCAAACTCGTGCTAAACTCTGGGGACAGGAGAGGCACAGCGGCCCATTCCTCAAAGGAGAAATCATGAAGGGCAAATGACAGAATGGGATTTATCGAGTGTTTCAAATGAACTCAGAGAACGGCTACTACTTTGTAGTTAAGTCCACAGTTCCTGAAATAAGACACACGAAATAACTGGGATAATACCCCCACTTGTTTACTGACCAACTAAGTGTCACAGCAGAAAGTGCCGAACTGAAATCCCAGGAACTTTTCTTCTCAGCAGTAAACCTAAATTAAACTAATACTGCATCTTGGGCTGGCTCCATGTCCTAGAGGGTAAGGAAGCCCAATCCCACACGGCTGACCATATGGTTTGAATCCTGAGCCCAGCAGCCTGAAAAACACACTGGGGGCATGGACTTGCGTGCCAAAAATCTCAACAGGATGGAGAAATGGAGGAGAAGGAATTGTGATATGATGACATGCATCTTTATTTATTGTTTTTTTTGGAGAGGTTTTCGCTACAGGGCGCATGCGCTCGCCAGCCAGACAGAGAGAGACATAGAGACAGAAAGCGAGAAATCACCCCCCAGAGGGGATGGTCACGCCGCAATCCCTTCTCCTCCATTCTCCTCTCGGGATCTTGGGCACACACGCACATGCGCCTGGCCTGAGTTTTAAGCAACCAGGTCCGGGACGCGAACCACGGTTGACTACATGGGAATCCAGCGACATAGCCATTACGCTAACTGCTGGTTCCCACAACACGCATCTTAAGGCTGCTTTCTGTCTTTCCCTTTCTCTTTCTTTCTCTAGTCAAATTAAGTAATAATAATAACAAAATTAAATAAGTAAATTATTATTTTTTAAAAAGAAAGCTCTCTCTGGTAATTACAGAGATACATACATACATAATTACATACATACATTCATACATCTATCTCAGGTAATTACAGAGATAAGTAAGGGCTAGAAACTAGATGGAAGGACAGTGATTCCTATGACATTCTAACATCTCTTGGTTAGTTTGGCTTGTGCAGCAGACAGGTCTTCAATGACTATAGATTACTGTAAGTACAATCAACTAGTGACTCCAACTTCAGCTCCTGTTCCAGATGTGGTTTTTTTTACTGTAGCAAATCAACAACATACTCCCTGGCACCTTAGATACAGCCAAAGGCCTGCCGAATGTTTCCATTGTTTCTTATTCAGTGATCAGGAACCACTCAGTGCAGTCTCCCTATGCCTGACTCTGTACTTCCAGGGTCAGACGCAGTGATCAATGATCAGAGCACGGATCCCCAACATTTGGAGGGCAGGGGCCTTTTGGCTTATTCTCACTCCTGCGAGCTGTGTGAGTTACCCTAGAACACATGCATGACTGTCTACCATGAGATTGGAGGCTAGGGTAGGTGGCTGCTACTGGGCTAAGAGCTGAAATGGACTAAAATTAACTTTAATTTGCTGTCCAATCTTCCCCTGGAAGATGCAAGCCTTCAATAGAGCTCAGTATTATTAAACAGACAAATTCTGTCAATACAAATACTGTCTAGGTGAGAAAACAGAATCTTGGTGCTTCCTAATCTATCGTCTTCCCAAAATCCTCTGGTGAAATATTTTGATGCTTTCACTAAGCAAAGCTGGGGAAATGGGGACCCTGACTTACAGCATGATGTGTTCCATAAACCAGAACCAATCCTGATGGTGGTTTTTTATTTTTTGGGGGGGGAGGGGGAGAGGTTTCTGCTATAGGGCGTGTGTGCTCGCCAGAAAGACAGAGAGAGACAGAGAGATAGAAAGCGAGAAATCACCCCCAGGGGAGATGGCCACACCACAATCCCTCCTCCTCCATTCTCCTCTCAGCATCTAGGGCACTCATGCACACAGATGTAGCATGAATTTAAACTGGCAGCTTTCTCTCTCTCTCCCCCCCACCCCCCCATCTCCCTCATCCTCCCTCCCGGCTTCTCTCTCTCACTCTCTGGTAAAATTTAACTTAATTAATTAATTGTTAAATAAAGTAATTCTTGAAAAAGAAAAAAAGGAAGGGGGTACAAGTAGCTTCAGTGTGAGAGGAAGTTTCTTCATGCTAGGTGAAAGCATATCATGGTTTCTATCATCGTCTGGAAATTAAACGTGGGAGAAGGACAAGAGTAGATGTTGGGGTTCCAAGTAGTGGATGGTGCCAATCATATGCCTATTTGCTATCAGCCTTCATTTCTTCCCTCTGTGCTCTGCTGAATATCGTACGGGTTGCAACCACCAACTGATACTTCCCAGACACCTTCCAGCTGGCTTCCAGTTAGGCACTACTAATGGAAGGGGCTGATGAGCAACTGGAAGGCCAGAGCAGGCGGGAAAGCAACTCTCCTGTTTGGTTTCCGATTCTGGCTGCAGTAGAGAGAGTGCAGCAGCAATGGCCAAATGAACTGGGGTGGCTATGCAGGGAGAAGCTCCGGCTCAGGTTAAGACAGCACATCTTCAGCAGATCTAGAACTACAGCAATGGCTTCTCTAAAGGCCCAGCAGCAGGTACAGACTTGTGGGTGCCAGGCCAGCAGTGGTAGCAACTTCTAGTCTCTGGGTATCAACCCTTCCTTTTTGTTCTTCCCATAGCTATCTTCTCTGTTTTACTCTTCCAGTCCTTCCAACACCTACATAACCAATTCCATCTATTTATCATTGGTGATATTTCAGGTGGAATAAAGGGTCTGTGGGTAGGATTTTTAAGAGTCCTTATTTTTAAAGGTATATACATCTTTACAGATGAAGTGATATAAATCTGTAGATTCATTTATGGCTGAATTAATCTAACGCTGGATACATCTGAGATGTTTCTTTTCTTTTTATAAATGCCAGAGCGTACATGTGCTTGCCAGAAAAAGAGACAGAGAGAGAGGAAGAGAGAGGGGGAGAGGGAGAAACCACTTCATCAGTGGAGCATGGCCATGCCACAAATCCCTTCTCCATTTCTCTATCCTGTCAAGATTTGGGGAACACATACATGCCCAAGTGCCCAGAGTGTTTGTCAAGCCTCTGGGACCAGGATTCAAACAACATGGTTGGCCATGTGGGATCTGGCTCCCTAGCCACTGGGCCACAAGGACAGCCCCAGGGACTTTTCTTAAGAATAATCTAAACTGGGACCAGCACATGGCATAGTGGTTACGTCGCTGGATTCCTACATAGTTGACCATGGTTCAAATCCCAGACCCTGAGGCTTGAAACTTACACCAGGCGCATGTGCAAAACCTTGAGAGGAGAAGAGAGGAGAAGGGATTGTGGCATGGCCATCCTTCCGGAGGGTGGTGGTGGTGATATCTTGCTTTCTCTTTCTGTTTCTGTCTCTCTGGCAAGCACACATGCCCTTTAGCAAAAATCTCTCAAAAAAAAAAAAAAAGAAAGAATCTGGTGAGAATCACAGAATGATAGATACATCAAAGTTCATTTTACTGTTAACTTTACTTTTTTCCATAATAAAATGCCAACTATGATCTCTCCCCAATAAGAATAAAATAAATTCTATCTATTTTCAATTTCTCAAGTAGCTTTGTCTTTTTGGTTAGAGTCTGACTGAGACACGTCTTGTCATGGAGAAAGCCTAAGAATGAAGATAACACCAAAGAAATAAAAATGCACACATGTGTGTGGGAGCAAGTAACAGAGAGGGTGATGGAAGTTGCGCACGTGCCCGAAAAAGACAGAAGTACACACAGAGCCCTGATAACATCCTGTGCACCCATAGTCAGCTAAATGAACCTAGTGGTTCACCTTAGGACTTTGCAGAAACATAAGCCAATAAATTCCCTTTCGGCTGAAGCTTGCTTGCATTGGACTTAAGTAACTTGCAAGTGAAAGAACCTGACTAATGACATCCCTAAGATAACAAGAACTTCTGTTATCCCAACCGTGCTGACAACTAACAACTACCACTGTCACTATAATATCTACCATCTCTGGCATCGTAGCAATGCACACTATCTCCATGACTTTTGCCATCACCACACCTAAATGAGTTAACATGCACTGAATACCTACTATGTGCAAAGCACTGAGTGATGCAAGTCAAACCTGAGTGAGGCTGAGCCCCTGCATTCCAAGAGTTCACAAGGTAGTTGGGGAGACCATAGACACCATCAATCTACCTATTTGTTAGAAAAATATAAATATATTTGTGAGGCATAATTCATAACAGAATATGCTAAGTACTAAACTACCTGGGGAAACATTAAATTCTACTAATTCTTGGAAGAGGGATGGGCTAAAACAGTTAAGAAAAGGTTTCTGGTAAGGGAAGGAAGAGGGCCTAAGCTGGGCCTTGGAATATGTACAGAATCTACAAAAGAGAATATGAATGGTCATGAGCTTGGTTTTGGGATAATATGGACTCGGTCCAAGCCCTGGGTCCTCCTGACTGGCTTTGTAACTTTGGGTGAGTTATTTAGCCAGATTTGCTTCAGACTCATCTGAAAAATGGGAATATTAACAGGACACCCACCTCATGGAGTTGTTGTGACGATTAAAGAGTTAACATGCAAGGAGCTGGCAATGGTGTGTGGCACAGAATAAGCACCACATATGTGTTCTTATTATGAAAGAAGGTCTAGGACTTTCCAGCCAGGAGGAATGGCCTCAGCAAAGGTGTAGGGTGGGAACATATAAAGCCTGTTTGGAGACCAGTGAATGGACTCATGAAGCAGAATTGTTAGATAAAAGCAATATCTACAATTTACAAATGACCAACCAATGACAGGGAAACACGTGTCTGTCCTCACAGCGCACAGGAAGGTGGGTGCCCGGCTGAGGGTGCTTCAGTGGGTGGCATTCTCTCTGCTTGAGTGCTCACAGACTGTCTTTACAGCCCTTCTAAGTGGTTCTGGACTGTTCCCCTGGATACTCGAACCCAGACCAAGGCTCCTGAGGGAACACACAGGAGATACTCTAGGGTGTGGAACTTACTGCTCTGTGACAGCCATATTGGGTGGCAGAGAGGTGAGCCCATTGCCTGTGAGGAGCAGGACACGGAGGTGTGGCAGAATCCCCAGATCATAGATGGCCTCCGCCGTCAGGCTGTTGAAGGAAAGGTCCAAGAACTACCATGCAAAGATAAAAGGTGGGGAACAGAGGCACTGTGTGTGACAATGATGCTCAGACATGACCTGAGAACTAACTACTGTTTTGGGTTTTCCCCCAAACTTTCAGAGTATCTGATCACCCACAAGTCCCATAACCACAGGATAAAGTCCTCCGGGCTCTCTGGATTAATATTCAGGGCCTCCTGGAGTAGGTTCTTAACCTATTTACCAGCCTTAGCTGCCACTGCAAACCTTTGCTTATCCTGTGGTGCTGTCCAAAGTGACTCTCCCCATCCTGGCCTCAACCTACCTAGAGATCTTTTCTTGTGCTTTTTATCCAAACAGGACTGCTCTTCCCTTATGTATCTGAACCAAAGTCCCGAAAGACCAGCTCAAAGTTGCCTTTTTATACTTTACAAATCTTACCTAATTCCCCAGCTATATGGAATCTCTCCCTCCCTCCCTCAGTATGCTTTATTGCGACCACTCTCAGGGTATTTCTCAAAGCCTGCTGGCTATGTGAAATAGCTGAGTATGTATCTGAGGAATAGGTGTTGGGATATGCCTGTGCTACAAAGTGGTGGGCTAGGTCATAAACTCTTTGAGGTTGAGGGTCATGCAACTGTAATGCTGTACCCTTGTAATTGAGCATAGCACCCAGCACAAAGTAGGTACACATAAAAAATGAGCTGAAATGAACTGGCTCATGAAGGCATGACCCAAACTGCCACCCCATCCCCAACCACCCTCTACTTAGTCACCTGGATTCATGAGATAGAATGAGATAGTTAACTGGGACCAAGCGGCCAGCCAGGAATTTCTGGCTGAATTTCTTTCTGCAAAGACAGGTAATTGGATAAATGACACCTGCCCGTTCTTTGTTCCCTCTCTCCTGAGCCTCTCCAGACACTCATGTTAGCTCTTATACACAAGTCAGCTCCTTCTCTCCAACCCCACTTGCGTGCTTCCCCCATCCCAATTTCTCTGCCCAAATTGAAGTCTCCTGAAGAGGAGCAGTCTTGGCACCTTATCCAGCTGGTGCAGGAGCAAGGTCTTGCTCAGCTACATCAGTGTAATGGAGCTGGTCAGACTCAGACATACTGCGGGTCACTGCCAGAGAAGGCTGGGTTTGATCTGACTCTCTGAAGTAATTAACTGATGGGCTCTGTAGGCATGGATTTAGGTCCTGGGTAATTGTGTCATTTTGAGCAAATTATTTAACCTTCCTCATCTATAACGTAGAAATCAGTGATTCCTATGGCCTGGAGTTTGGTGCACAGTAAATGCTTAATTAATGCTGGCTGTCACTGTCATCATCATCACCATCCCTTCACTTACCAGCCCTATGCTGAAGGCTTACTTTCTATCAGTCCCTGCCCTCTGGGAGCTCTTGGCCTACTCAGGTAGAGGTATAGAGTCCTGCATTGCTTAAACATGGAACACACGCTGAGAAATGTGTCATTAGATGATTTTGTCATGTGAACATCAAAGAATGTAAGTATACAGACCTAGACGTTATAGCCTACCACAAACCCACAGTACACGTATAGACAATTATAATTTTTATGGGATCGCTGTCATATAAGCAGTCCATCGTAGACCAAACATCATTATGGGGCATGTCTGTATGTGTCTGATAAGTAGCAATAATGCTGGAATCGATGTCTGTACACAGACCCACAGGGGCACAAAGACAGAAATGGCTAGTTCTACCGGGGTCAGGACGGGCTTCACAGAGCAGGTGACATGTGAGTGATCCTCAGAGACTAGAAGGTATTCACCAAATTGTTAGGAGCAAAGAGACATTCAAGGCATTGAGTGACATGTATAGAATCTAGGAGACAGGAGGCAGCCTTGCTTGTTCTGAGAACTGCCAGCAGTTTGGGTATAACTGAAACCCAGAGTGGAGGGAGGGTTTGGTAAGACTGGTCAGACCATGAAAGATACCAAGCACCAAGGACGTGCAGAGTTCATGCTGCCATCAGCAAATTCTAAGGTCTGGGGACTCATGCAAGGAAGCAATCCCACTTGGTTGGAGCAAAGAGAGAAACTTTCAAGGAGGAGGGCTGGAAAGCTGGCTTAGATAAGCACAAGTAAAGGTGGACAGCCTTCAATACCTACAGACTCTGTCTACCTCCTTAATATTCCTATGCTTGCTTTCCACAGTGCATTCTTCATACAGTAGCCAGAATGATTATGTTTTTTTTAAAAAAAAAAAAAAAACACAATTAAAAAAAAAAAAAAAGAAAACAGGACCTTACCATCTCTCAATTTAAAAACTTCAATGACAAGCCAGCAGATGGCACAGGGGTTAAGATGCTGGATCCAACATAACTGATTCAGCAGTTCAAATACTAGACTCTGTGGCTTGAAAATATCACGCGTGTGTGCACATGGGTGTGCACATGTGTATGTGCCCAAAATCCTGAGAAGAGAGTGAAGAAGGAGGGATTGCAACATGGCCACTCTACTGAGAGGGTGATTTCTCACTTCTCTCTGTCGCTCTCTGGTAAGCACATGTACCCTATAGCAAAAACCAAAAGCAAAACAAAAAAAACCTTCAGTGGATTCCTATTCTCCATAAGATAAGGCTTAAATTCCTTGGCAGTTTCTAAAATTCTCTCTCTATTCTACTCTTCTCCAGGCTCACACGTCACTATATTCGCCTCACACTCCATCTAACCAAACTGAGCTGTTTCATCAGTGCTTGAGCTCAAGAGTTGGCAAACTAAGCCTGGAGGTCAAGTCCAGCATGCTGACAGTTTCATATGGCCCGTGAAGTAAGAATAGTTTTTATATTTTTAAAATAGCTGAAAAAGAAATCAGAAAAATAATAATGTGTTATACGTGAACATTGTGTGAAATTCAAATGTCAATATGATAGATAAAGTTTCACTGGGACATAGCCATGTTTGTCAGTCATGTATTGTCTTCCTCTAACACAGCAGAACTGACTTGAAATGACCATGCGGACCCCAAAGCCTAACATATTTATTGTTTGGTCTCATAACGGAAAAGCTTATAAATCCCTGTTCTAGTTGCTTCAGCTATTTAGTGTTGGATCTAAATGTCCTCTTCACAGAATCAAGGGTAGCATAGAAAAATGAATAGTTTTAGAGTGACAGGACACAGTGCTAGCCCAGAATTTTCCAAGGTGGGAACTGAAGTCCCAGAGGAAGTAATCTATCTGGCCAAGAAGGCACAGCAAAGTCCTGGCAGAACCAAGATGAGAAACAGGGTCTGCTGACTGCCGGAGCAGGGCTCCAGTGGAACCCTTTTCAGGTCTGAAGCAAATCATGGCAGAGAAGTTAAGTTTTTCTACACTAACTCTTAAAGAGTACTGCTCTAGGCTTTCTCCCCAGTACAGCCTTTTGGGAAAATGAGGACTGAAGATTCCCGACCTGGCTACTACTTCTGTTGAGTCATATCAAGTTTCAGTACACACCAAAGAATTCATTACTGTGAATTGTGAAGTCAGGATATTTAACAGGTTTATCCTTTTCTCAGGGAATCCTTACAAATCCTAGAGAGATGGAAATTAACAACTGGTCAGGGGATTTCCTCTTCTTATTTATATTCTACATTTTAACTTTAGTCTCTTCTCTGAGGTAAATAAATTCTCTTGAGTAAGGGTGGGTCTGCTGGATAAAATCATCTTTATCAGATGCTAACGAACAGCAGGGCCTCCAAAAGGTCAATAATAAGTAACCACTGGATCTAAGCTACTCAGTGGCATCAGAGCCTGAGGTCACATCCCCTTCCCGTGCCCACCAGTACTTGAAATAGAGGCCTGAAATGGTAAGGTGAGGAGGACCATGTCTGCCACAATCCACAACAGGTGGGATCTCAATGGCTACTCTTTGAAAAAGTAGAACAAAATACTTAAGAAGCTCCAAGACCTGGAGGGCAGGGAAATGGCTCCCTGTATCACTAGAGCATCTAGAACCCACGTCTCACTGTCTATAGGAGAGATACACTACAAGATGCTGTTTAATATAGTACAAAACTGCATTAGTTGTTGTAAATTTACCTTCTTTTTTAAAACTTTCTAGAGGTATGACTCCTGGATAAGTCTAAGGATCAATCCTGTCCCAAATTTTAGTAAATTGCTCTTATTTGTCTTTGGTATAACTTGAAACCATGGAGAGAAGGTATCATTGTACCCAGTAGAATATGCTTTCAGAATGTAAGGTCATATAAGCCATTTTAGGAAGATGACCATTCTTAGAGGACTTTTTAAAAATCTTTTTAAAAACTTTTTTTTATTTTTTATTTTTTAATTAAACCTTGGCATATAGAGGCTATCAACTCTGAAAAAATCACTCTGTGTAAGGTCCCCCTTTCTGAGACCAGGGTAAGTGAGGCTTTTGTGAAGAATGGCTAACCCTTGATGTCTGAAGATGAGGTCATTTAAGTTACCAACTCTTTGGGGTCAACCCTAAGGCTCCTAATGATGGTCATTGTGCTGAGGTTTGAATGTGAAACATTTTTACCACTATGT